TCTCATATATGTGTGTGTGTGTGTGTGTGTGCATGTTATAGATATACTGCCTATACCATGCATCTACAGGGCCGTATTTGGTACTTATATACATATTATATTACCTTTACATTCATACTTCATATTCATATGGATATTCATGAATATTCATGTATTCATACATATATTCCAAAGTAGTTTAGATTGCAACTCTTGGTGAGAATCATATATGTGTGTGTGTGTGTGTGTGTGCATGTTATAGATATACTGCCTATACCATGCATCTACAGGGCCGTATTTGGTACTTATATACATATTATATTACCTTTACATTCATACTTCATATTCATATGGATATTCATGAATATTCATGTATTCATACATATATTCCAAAGTAGTTTAGATTGCAACTCTTGGTGAGAATCATTCTTCATTTTCTAAGGCATAGATTTTGATAATCATCTATTTTAATTTGCTATGTGCATTTTAAATTCTGTGGTCAAGAGGAGACTTTTTATTATTTTCGTTTGGTTTTTAATAACTTTATAAAACCATGATACTTTTTAAATATGTGATATGAAGTCTAATAATGCAATTTCTTTAATAGAGTTTTTCGTCATTCTTTCATCTGGAAGTTGAAGTTTTTGTTCTTTTCTTTGAAAGACTTCATTAATGTGCAGGAATGTACTCAAGACTTCTGCCCCTTCATTCCCAGATTTTCTAGGCTGTCAGATTAATAAAAGGGTACCACTCACTAACTTCACAAGAGTAAAATTATAAACTTTGTTTCTAAGGCTAGCAATGGCACTTGCATATGGTTGATTAAGGTGATTAATTCAGAGGGCTCATTTAACTGAAATAGTTAATTAGTGGTTGTTACAGACATTTAGAGAAAGAAAAACTATTTTAACTTTAACAATTACTCTCTAGGATATTAGCTGAAGTATTTTTTTATTTGTTGATTAGTAATTATCAGCTGTTCTGTATACTAGATTTTAAATTTTATATAGAATAATTTTCCAGTTACTAGGTTTTTAAAAATTATGCAGTCTCAGTAGCTTTTATCTGAAGTGCACATAAGTTTAAAAAAATATTGGCCAATGGTAAAATGAATTTATTTTAAAAATAAATTTAGATGTAGTCACATTTTAAATGAAATTAATAGCATTTACAAATCATGAACAACTTACTACTTTAGTAAACTTCACTTTGTAATAGAATTGCAAAGCAGGTATTGACTCATATCTTAATTTTTCTGGATTCCTTTTCTCAGGGTGCGTTTGAGAAGATCTTTTCTCTTTGGCCATTGTCCAAGTGTTTTGAACTGAAAGGGAATGTATATGAATGGTGGTTCAGATGGAGGTTAGACCGTTATGTATGTATTTACTTTGTGATATTTTGCCATTTTAAATTATGCTACTGGAAAATGACTTGGAGTCTATTTTTATTTTGTTTTATAATAAAGAAACATGTTGACTTAGTAAGTTAAAACTGTCTACTCCCTCCCCATGCATGTATATGTGATCAGCAGGAAATATTGTAAAAATATTGTGCAGTTTTAACTTATAAGTGATATATATGTTTCATCCATTCAAAAAGTATCTATTGAGCCCCAATATGTGTCCTAGATATTGGTGTCATGAAGTATATATCAGAAAGAAGGCATACCACCAGGCTTTTATGCCCGACAGTCTAGTAGCTGAAAACTCAGATTACAACTTCTAGGGTTCTGAACTATGCAGAGTGGATTCAGTGGTAGAAGAATGCAAAGAAGAAACAGTATGTTATGAACTTCATCTTGAAAGAGGTTAAGAGTCAGTTGTGTGAGAAAATGTAAAAGATCTATTTAATACAGCATTTGGAAAATGATACACACTAAATAAGTATCAGCTACTTCACTCTTTCCCATCTTCTTTTCCTCTGATTTATCTCTTTTTCTTTCAGTAACTGCTTTCTTAGTGCCTCTTCTGTGACATGCCTAGTTTCAGTACCTGTGCACCTTCCGGTGTAAACAATGAATAAAAGAAATCTTTGCTAGTCTCATTAGAGCACTCTACTGTGACACGCTCGTCTTAGTCTGTTTGGGGTACAATTTAGCAGAATACTATAGACACGGTGGCTCATAAAGAACAAAAAACAATAAAAGTGTATTTCTCACAATTCCAGAGGCTGGGAAGTCCAAGCCAAAGGTGCTGGCAGAGATGGTGTCCATGAGGGCCAATTTCCTGGTTCATAGATACTGTGTTCTTGCTACGTCCTCACATGGTAGAGGGGCCCAGGGAGCTCTTTGGGGTTTCTTTTATAAAAAAGGCCAGTAATCCCACTCATAAAGGCTCTACCCTCATGACCATATCACTTCTCAAAGCCTCTACCTTCAAAACTATCACATTGAGAATTCGATTTCAATATATGAGTTTTGGAGGAGTATGAACATCCAGTCTACAGCAGTGGTGATTTAAATGACATCTGTATTTATTAATCTCCTTGTTAAGGAAAGTTCCTGCTCTACTTTTTTAGTCTTGTTTATATATATTTCTTTTTTTTTCAGCTTTAATTGAGTTTATTGGTACATTTTAGGGATACAGTACAGTTACATTCATTGTTGGGATCTTGTACCTCTACAAGACAAGTCTTGATTCTCATTTTTTTTTTAAAGTATGACTTGGTGGTGGTATTTCTGTTTTTTATTCTACTGAAAGGATCAGTACAAAATTTATTTTATCATTTTGGGGTATATTTTAGTTTTATCATGTCTTTAGGAGGGTTTCTTATTTTTAAGTTGTTTGGGATGAGAGAGTAGGTCAGTGGAAAAGTGTGTACTTAGGATACACCTCACTTCAATTCCCAACACCAAAATATAAAATTAAATTAATATAAAATAAAATAGCTTTTGCTACTTCATTTGCTGCTGGGACTGCTCAAAATGAACCAGCTTTATCTCATATTTTGGGGGTGGTATTTTCTTGTCTTCTGCTAATAGTCATTAAGCTGTATTTCATTCTTTGAAATTGTGCTTTAGAAGCTTAAATTCTTAGTTAAAAACTCTGAACCTTTAAGTTTTTTTTTTTTGTTTTTCTGTTTTTGTTTTTGTTTTTGTTTTTTTGTTTTTTGATACAGGGGATTGAACTTGGATCCTTGCACTTGCAAGGCAGGCGACAGAACCACTGAACTAAATCCTGGCTTGTTTTTTTTTTATCCTGGGGATCGAACTTGGGACCTTGAGCTTGCCAGGCAAGCGGTGGCACCACTGAGCTAAATCCCCAGCCCTGAACCTTTAAGCTTGTAACTTACTTAATTTTATTAATTCAGTCCTTATTAACAACATATTTTTACTAATATTTGAAAAGTAACTGTTTAAAGGAAATTTTCTCTTTTTTCAGGTAGTCTTCCATGGAATGCTGTTTGCTTTCATTTATCTGACTTTACAGAAACGCCAAGTACTTTCTGAAGGAAAGGGTGAACCTCTTTTTTCAAACAAAATTTCAAACTTTCTGTTGTTTATTTCAGTAGTTTCTTTCTTGGTAAGTTTTGAAATACAACTTTTGTTGTTGTTGTTTTGTTGTTGTTGTTTTTTTGTACCGGGGATCGAACATAGGACCTTGCACTTGCAAGGCAGGCAGCAGAACCACTGAGCTAAATCCCCAGCCCTGAAATATAACCTTCTAATTTTCCAAAATCTTAAATTATATGAAAGTTAACTTTAAGTTATGCCTCACAAATACAAAGGAAAAAAAAAAGAAAAAACTTGGGGATTTAGTTCATTGGCACCTCACTTGGCCTTGCAAGCACAAGGTCCCTGAGTTTGATCCCCAGTACCAAAAAAAAAAGTATATATACAGATATATAGATATGAATGTAAGCAGTCACTTAATAAAAGCAATCACTTTAGATCAATCTTTGCTTCTTAATTTTTTTACCTTATTTTCTAATTAGACATGTTCTTTTATATATTTTGTTTGTTTGTTTGTTTGTTTGTTTTGTGGTGCTGGAATTCAAACCCAGCACCTGCTTGTACTAGGCAGTACTTCACCAACAAGCCATAACCTCAGCCCATAATTTGGCATAAAAGCTAAAGAAAATGCATAGGGAGGTTAAATATGAAGAAAAACTGAGAAATCAAGTGAAATATGAATTTTAAAAGTTAGCAATTTGGGGGGGAAAATCCATGGGAAGGTGTTTGATAAAAGAGCTATCACTACCTTATAATTACTATTTTCAGAAAAGAACAAATCCTGTTCCCCTCTCTCTGTTCCCTTATATTTGGGCAGTTAAGCATCCAAAACACATGAAGACAAACTTGCACTGTATACTGATGCTTTCTATATGGCATCATCAACTATTGGTATAATGTACATAAAGAAAACTTGTGGAAAAAAAAAGAAAACTTATGCATGTTATGCCTGTTTAGGCTTTACTGGTTTTGTGAGCTCATCTACCCTTTGTTTGTTTGTTTATTTTAGACCTATTCCATCTGGGCTAGCAGTTGTAAGAACAAAGCAGAGTGCAATGAATTGCACCCTTCCATTTCTGTGGTACAGGTAATTATCTTGATTTAGAGAAATTGTTACTTCTTAATGTTTGATAAGAATATAGTCTTTTGGGGGAGGGTGGATGTTTTTTGAAGCAGAGTCCTGTTATGTAGCCTAGGCTGGACTCGAATTCACAGCAATCCTCCTGCCTGCCTTCAGAGTGCTGGGATTACAGCGTGTACTAAACCTGGTTCTAAGAGAATAAAATCTTTAGAGATAGCTTTAAGTTCAAACTCCAAAAATGTAGGCAAGCTACTTAATCTTTCTAAGCTTCTGTAATAATAGGGATAGTAAAATCTCTTAAAAGGTTATTGTGTTAAAAGTTCGGAAATGATCTAGCTCAGTATTTGGGACTTAGAAAATGTTAATCACCTTCCCAGCCAGGAACCTGCTTGACACATTCCGTGAAGCCAAGTTCCAACTTTCAGCATGCTGATGTTCTGTCTTGTGGAGATCACCTTCCTCCCCGTGTACCACAGCACCCAGGGGAAGGTCATGGTGGCCATGGAGGTCTTCTCCATCTTGGCCTCCAGTGCTGGGCTGCTGGGCTACGTCTTTGCACCAAAGTGCTACATTATTTTGTTAAGCCAGAGAAAAATTCAGTACGTGGGTTTACAGTTAATAGCCTGGGGAAACGATGCCTTTCTAAATTAAAAATATTCATTCACTAAAATAAATATGCTAAGGCGATTTTACATGATTTTCTCAGTCAGACATTAGATTGCACTGTGGAATTTTTGGAACACACAAAACACATTTGCTCCTTTCTGCAGTAGTTTTATAGTCACTACCGTTTTTAATAATCGCCTTTACAGTCTGGCTGCTATTTGGATTTCTGTTCCATTAATTATACTGCAATCAGGGTTATTTTTGCACAGATTTGTTACATTAGTCACTTCTAATTTGTCTATCCCTTGATTGTCTCATTAAATTTACTAATTTCAATACACCAAATTTTATGTACAGAAAAAAAGAAAAAGCTAATTCCCTTCACATGTTTAATTTTTGGATTATTTATTTATTTAAACTTCTTTATTTCTTTATTTAATTATAGCTATTGTCTATTATGTGTTATGTACTGTCCCAGGTAGAGGAAGCTCAATGTTAAGATGCAGCTATTGACTTCAAGAAATATATCAGTCTAGTAAAGATACAAACAAATATTCATTTGAGGTTTTCTTTCATTTTACAAACTTTGATGCTCTGTTAGATATTGCATCAGGGGAGATGACGGTGAGAGCCAGTTCAGGTGTAGTTCCTATCCTGCCTTCTCTCATGGGTAATAATTATATAATAACCACATAAGTATGAGTAGAAGTGTGCAGAGCTTCACGAGAATATAAGCTGACAGGAAAGTCACCAGGGGTCAGAAAGAATTTCCCTGAGAAAACTAAACCAAGAATGGAAGCATAAGAGCGCAGTAGGCAGCAAGAGCATAGGCCCCAGCTGGGTGTGGGGGTGCTCACCTGTAATCCCGGCACTCAGAAGGCTGAGGCAGGAAGATCGCTGCAAGTTCCAGGGCAGCCTGGTGCCTGGGCTACGTAGTGAGCTCAAGACCAGCCTGAGCTACATAGCAAGACCCTGTCTAAAACACACACACACACACACACGAGAAAGGGGAACATGGGCAGTAGTGTGGACAGGTGTGGTACATTGATAGTTTATGGACCCAGGGAAGTGTGTGATGACTGATCAGCGGAACCGGGGTGGCTCCAATCACGTTACATTCAGCAGAGCTACAGTACCACTAACATCATGCTAAGTGTAAGAATGGTTAAACACAGAGTGCTTAGGAAACACATGGCAGTTCTTCGTCTCAGAGTAGAGTTATTGGAGGCAATGGTGTCTAAGTTAAAGTCTGAGAGATGCTTAGCCCAGCCACAAGGAGCAGTGAGAGTTAGAAGGTCTTCTCTCCCTTGAATTTTTTTCAGTGCAGGGACTAGTTATTGCTTTGTATCTTCTCTGCCGTGCTCAGTAGCACCCAGGAAAGTGACAGATTCTCCAGACACAATTTGTAGTAAAATTTGTAAGCACTATCCTGTATTCACATAGATTTTCATGAGTTCTATACACAACAGTAAATTAAATTGAAACAAGCACTGTTTTATCAACTGCTGCTGCTTTTCAGTGATGTTTATCCCACATCGTCAAACTTTAGAGCATCCAGGTCCCTGCAGATACTGTGGGTTATACCCTTACCCTGAACACGTTTCGCTCTTGTTGTTGGATGGATGCCCATGGGATGACTGAGTTGAATATACCTGAGTAGTTCACTTCGGTTCCCTTTTCCCACACATCTAACTTCCGTACCTTTTAAGTATCTCAGAGACTTCCTAATCCTTTGACAGTGGTCCAGGGTGATTACTGAGCATAGAATTTTCTCTAAATTTTAGATACATTTTCCAAACCTTTTAGAAGCAAAAGTTCTTGAAAGAGACTTGTAAACATGACAACTTTCCTCGTTACAATTCCTTGCTTCTTGGTGAGGAATGTAGGTTGTAAGGAGAATTCTTTGCTTGGTAACACTAGGCTGTGGGTATGAGATTACGAATTAGAAGTTTAGAAAATGCAAGCCTGATCCTCTAGATACAAAAGGATAAGTAAGAAAGGATAAGGAGAGGGGCAAAAGCTGGAAATTCTTCTTAGGGGTAAAAATTTCCGGAGAGAAAATGCAGTGCAAGACATCATCTGCCGAGCCATGCTGAGCAAACTTGCAGGCGTTCACAGCCATGCCATTTCCCACGCTAACATGGCTGTCAGCGGAAGATGATTTTGAAGCAGGTGGGGGGGAGGCAGGGTTACTGCTGACTAAACCAATGCTTTATGTAGGAGCAAAATTGTACCATAGGATTTTATGAAGTTTTGCCTCATAAATGATAGCAGCTTTTATTACACAGAGCCGCAGGAGGCTTGCACTTTCTCCTTTATACATAAAACATTCAGCCTGTATTACCTCAGGTCTGCAGTGGTATGCAGTATGTAGACATCTGCTGATATATCTAGTTTGGTTAGACTCTTAACCATGACAACAAACTTGCCAGTACTTTATTTTAAAAATTCTATAGGTGTGAAATTCAAGAACATAAAGTTACCACTTAAAGGAAAGCTTCACACAAAATGCTTTTTAATAAATATATTAATGACATTCACCTTTCTGGTTTTTCCTTAGATTTTAGCCTTCATCCTAATAAGGAACATCCCCGGATATGCACGTTCAGTTTACAGTTCATTTTTTGCTTGGTTTGGAAGAATTTCATTAGAGGTCAGTACATTGATGCCGTGCCTTATCTTCCATAGCCATGTGTGTGTGACTAGATATAGAGACTTTTAAAACATTCTTTCTGTTTTCTGAAACTTTTAAGCACAACCAAGATGCTGAAATCAGGAGAGAAAAATATTAGACCAGATATAAATGAAATGAAGCTAGGGGGATTCTGATTGTTATCCACATCCATAATTAAATACTGGATTCCTGGAATTCAGATTTTTGAAGTTTACCATCATGAAATTCACCTTTATTATAATTAACTATTGTGGGAAGATATTTAAACTCATTACCTTTTGTGTGAGATATATAATGTAAAATTTATCTACAAAATCAATTTAAATGGTAGACTTTGAAGTGCATTTTGTTTAATCTGAACTTTATTATTTGAAATAGAATGTTTTAAAAACAGTAGAATTCATATTATAATCATAACAGGTACAGTTTAAAATATAAGGTTTATTAAGTTGTCTTTTAAAACAGGGAAACCAAATTTTCTTTGAGTTCATGAGTCAGCTTGTTTTTTAAATTAATTTACTTATTTATTTATTTATTATTTATTTTGGTTTAATTTGCAGGATAGATTCTATAAAGGTAGGAGTTCTGCGGAGGAAGTTCTGCAGTATATTTTCCAGGGCCAATAGTGAGGCAAAATCAGATGGTTTTGGAAAATGTTATTGCGCTGTCATATATTTAAATTAGGAAAAATGGGATTTAGTCGTAGACCCTCTGAACATATCTAGCTTTAAATATGTTTTCTCCTAGCTATTTATTTGCCAATATCATATATGGCTGGCAGCAGACACAAGGGGCGTCTTGGTGCTCATACCTGGAAACCCAGTGCTCAACATCATCGTCAGCACTTTCATCTTTGTCTGTGTGGCACATGAAATTTCTCAGATCACTAATGACCTTGCACAGATCTTTATTTCTAAAGATAATTCATCTCTCCTGAAAAGGCTGGCATGCATAGCTGCATTTTTTTGTGGACTACTCATCTTATCATCCATTCAAGATAAATCGAGACATTAGGTTACTACAATTCTAAAAAAAACTTACTTTCAGGCTTACTTTGTGTTTGCCTGGAGGAAAAAAAAGCATCTATCTGGAGATATAAATGTTTGTATAAATATAAATGTATGGTGAGAGGACAGTTTAGTGATGTCTGTTGAGCTTTTGGTTGTATATATTGGAAATGTACATATCCAATGTGAAGTACTTAAAAAAAAAAAAAAAAAAGAACCAGAATGCATCATATGGGATTGCATGTGAAAAGTCTTTTCTACTGGATCTATATTACCATTTATAAATGATTTTAAGTTAACATATGAAGGCAGGGAAATGATTACTTTTCCAGTAAAGAGTATAGATAATAATTTAGTCAGCTTAGTGGCAGCACTGAGTGTTTTGATATTTACTGAATTTGTGGTAATAAGACTGTCTGCACCTATATTCATTGTGGAACTTCCTACTTCACTGAAAACTTTTTTACTCAAGAATGATTTGCAGTATTGCTTTCTTATCCTATGTGCAATGATGTGGAATGATAAACAGTATGCCTTTAATTTATATGTATTCGTGTTCAGATGTTATGTTTCCTGACATGATTTTTGTCCTGTGGTTTTTCAGGAATATTAGCCTAAATCTTTGTTCACTTTTTGTCTCGCAGAGTTGTTTAAAGGCTCCATGACAGGGTTTTGTCATAGTTTTATGTTATTGTTTCTTTATATAAAAAGGCCAAATTTTCTTTCCAGTCCAAACATTCTTCTGTTGCTTTCTGTAACCTACACCAGTATGATGCTGGTCACCCTGTGGATCTGTGTAATATGACCCCTAATTAATTTTTGTATATTATTTCCAATGTTTGGAAAGCTCTTTATAGATATTTTGGTATTTCTTATTATCCCCTTCTATTTTTAAAAAGTATTTATCAACCTAAAAATGTGCAGTGTAGTTAAGAGTCAAGTTATTATGACTGAAATGTAGTTTTACATAAATGGTGACTTTGGGCAGTACGAGTTTTTTTTATAAGCTAACTGTTAGAGTAGATGTTTATTTATCTGTTGTACAGATTTGATTATGATTTTTAATGTTTGAAAGATCATGCTTATTTGCTTCTACTATGTGTGGGGTAAACTATATTTTCTGTTCACAGTATGTAAAAATATGGAGTAATTTAAACAGTAAATAAACATTCTGTGGATGCTTATTTTTGTATTGGCGAAGTGTCAGTTAAACAACGTGTGTGTGTGTTTTTTTAAGCTGGTTCCATTAGTGATGGGTTTAAATTTCTAATTTATTTTCTTAAATTTGCTTTTCTGAACTCTTACTATATAAGTGTAGATCACTAAGTTATTGCTGAATGAGGAATAAGTTGATAATCAGTGCTTCTGTGCATAATCTACCTTCTCATGAATTTTTAAGCATTACGATTTGTCATCTTACTTGAAGGTTTAAAATTTTTAATTATTATTTCTGTAGCACTGGTTTGATGCACTACTGACATAGCCCATTACTTGAGCAATGTGTCGTGGTCAGAGATGTGTGTTCGTTTCTTTCCTCTCTTTGTCTGCCCTTGCTTAATCTTTTGACATTTCCCAGACAGACAGTGGAAATGATTCATGGCCCTGCCTTATAGACTGCAGTCTTACAAGTAGAGAATGGTATAGTTATAAATCAAAAACTTCCAACCACTATGATCATATTATTCTTGTTCATATATCTTGCCAATGCTTAGAGTGCAATTTACTTTAACTTGTGAGTTTTATCACCTGAGAAAGATTCTTCTTGATGAAATAATTAAGAAAATGACCAGCATCTGTGTTTTGAAAGACCTGATGTCTTCCAGAAGCGATGCCCAAGTGAATATGCAAAATTTTCTCTACTCTTTAAACCCCCAGTCTACAATTTAACTGGCAAGACCTATTTCTTCATCACATGTTCTCATTTAAGATGCAAAACTTCTTAGATATAACTATATATAATTAAAATACATGTACTCTTTATGGGTAAGAGGTCACTGTGGAAGTTGCCACCATAGCAATATGCATAGTAAATGTGTTCATTTTTTCCTTCATTGATTTAGGTACTGACCAGTTCCTTTACTCAATTTTTTAATTATTTAAGATGTTAAACAGAATATTTAGACACATTAAATTTGAGATAAAAGTACAGGAGTTCTCTATAGTCAGATTTTTTCTGATAGAAATCACATTCAGAAATCAACCATCTGGCTCCAAAAAGTATTTGCTTATCTCAGGTCTAACCAGATCCTTCCCTCTTCCTGTGCCAACCCTTCCCATATTTGTGGGTCACAAACAGAAGCAGTACAAATCCCACCCACACCTCAAACAATTTATTGAGCCTCTGAGCTAAACCAATTTTTTTTATTAGATTGTAAACCATAAAGGTGGATGAGTAGATAGATACTTCAGGTTCTAGACCAGAGTATCATTTATTAGACACTAAGTGCAGGCCACTGTATCCAGGAAGTTTGCAGTTTGGAGGAAAATACCCTTCTCTCTGGATTTGGACTTTTCATCAGTTTAGCAAATCTTGGGAAAACCAAATTGGGGTTTTTATGTTGAATAATATTAAATTGCTAATGTGCTGTCGATTTCTGCTTTTAAAAGAACAGTTATAACTTCCCTTGTTGGAAAACAAAAGTAACGAGTAGCTACCAGAGAGTTGATATTGGTAATTATTGCAAAAGTTGTAAGTATGAAGTTTGGTTATATTAGGGTAGTTTTGAAGATTAATGAAAATTTAAAACATTCATTTCTGAAGAGCACTTTAAAGCTATATTTACCTTTAATAAAGTTCTTTCTAGTGTCTATATAATAGGAATTAGAAATGAAAAATTTTTCTTAAAGGTAGATCCATAAAATAGGATAAATAAGAGGCTGTTTTTCAAATGATTTGAGATTATAAACTAACAAATTATAAGTTATTTAAATCTTATTTCTTGTTTAAAATGTAATTTTAAAAATATCATTCTGGAGAAGAAAAATAAGATAGATTAACATTTTGAAAGGAAATTTATGGTTTCCTAGAAGTTTTCTATCACCTGTAGGCAAAGTCTTCATGCTCTAAGATAATTATGATTTTTAATTCAATTAATTGTATTCAGTTTTACATCACTGATACCTAGTAATATTTAGAAAACATTTCAGGGAATTATCTAATAGGGAAAGTTGTTTTAAAAATTGGTTTTGCAAAAATTCAAGTTCTTTAAGAAAATTCAACTATCCCAAATGGATTGTTTCAGTCAGTGCTTACTAGAGAAATAAGTTAAATGTAAGATATACAAATATGTAAGAATTTACAACAGTGGCTTATAATGGCCGCCCACAGAGGAGGAGCACACTGGGGATCTGAAGACTCTGATCAAAGCCTGGAGCGCAGTGTAGTTAGTGTCACATGTGAGCCTGTCAGGAGACGAAGGTCTGTGATGGGGGCTTACAAGTCTGCCCTGGAAACCAGGAGATGACATCCAAGATGAAAGCAAGAACTGGAGCTCCTCCATCTCTCTTTTACATCACTGTGGTGACAATCCTCCCTAGGGTGGGTCTTCCACGCCCAGAACTATGCTGTGCCCGTCCAGTTGGGCATTTCTTACTCAAGTTGACACAGTCAACCATCATGTGGATTACTTAGTTATTTTAATCTCCACTGACAATAGACAGATCTTCTTAACTGATGGTCGAAGCTCTTGACCTGTTCACATTATCACCAGTTTCTTTTTAATGAATTCCAGTTCACTAAATCCCATGTCATTATTTCCTCTGGTTCCTTTGTTCCTATTCTTCATCTGCCTAAATCTAACTTTTATTTGTATTTTTTGTTATTACATTTTTGCTGTACATAATGATTACACTGTTCTCACTTCGGCAGCACATATACATGATTACATTCATTGTAAGGATTTGATACATGAACATAACTTCTGAATTTTTTTTCCTTCAATTATTTTTTCCTGTCTCTTTTCTCTCCTCTCCTATCTCTTGTTCACCTATCCATTTGAAAACTTCCTACTTTCTTTTTATCTTTGTTGTTTTCTTTTTAGCTTCTCATGTAAGGGAAACCATGTGACATTTAAGCCTGAGTGTGACTTATTTCTCTTAATATTGTGGTCTAAAGGTGCCTTTCCCTTTTGTTTACCTACAAGTGATCCGAGTTTTTCTTTCCGGTGGAGTAGTACTCCGCTGTGTATGAATACCACATGCTCGTCTTCTGTAGATGGGAACGTGGGCTGTGTCCCAAGATTGACCTATTAAAAATTGTGCTGCTCTAAACATGGCCATGCATGTTTTCTTTTATGATGACTTTAACTCAAAGTCAAAATTTAGGCTTCGTCTTCTCTAACCAAATGCTTTCATTTCTTCAAACAAAGCTATTGTAACGTTAATCCTCTGGCTCCATTATTTTGTCGTCTCTTCCATACCTGCAGTATGAAGTTGGTGTCTTAGGGATATAGAAGAAGTGAAGTAGATATAGTAAGCCTTCATCATTAGCTGAGAAATTCTAAATTTTTACCATCTTAAAAACAAAATTCCCTTTGCCGTCTGTGCCCACAAAGATACTGCCTGATTTAATCTTCTTTCACAGCCCTAACTGCTCTTTCTAAGATCAGTTGCTAAAGCCAGCAATCATTTCTCAATTGTCACCCTACTGGACCCACAAGTGGCATTTAACACAGTCGATGTCCTGCCTCGTCAACAGCCTTCTTCTCTCCAGGCCTCCATGCCCTCCCGTTTTGGGATTTCTTTCTACCTCCGTCGCCATCCACTACCTTCATCTCTCCCTACCCTCGGTCTCTAACACACAATTCCCAGTGCTTGCTCCTCAGACCTCCGTCTATACCCACTCCTTCAGTGACATCACCTAATCGCGTGACCTTATGTCGTCTATATGCTGACGACTCCCACATTTGCATTCCATTGGAACTTCTTCCCTAAAATTCAGATTCATGTCTCTACTTACTACTTCTCTCCCTTTGAATATCTTAAAGACATCTCGTACATACCTAAAATGTCTAAAACAAGAGCACAGGAAACAGCTAAAAGCTTCCTCGACTTTCCCATTAACAAATGATAACTACATGGTTCAGATTTTTAAAAATTGAAGAGTCAGGGGTTCGGGATTTAGCTCAGTGGTGCTGCCGCTTGCCTGGCAAGCATAAGGTTCCTAGTTCAATCTCCAGTACAAAAAAAAAAAAAAAAAAAAAAAA